CGGGATAATAATGGAGCCTACTGGATGGAGTAATTAAGAGGATCAAGTGTGAAATGCCTGTCAATTACTTAGCACAGCCTGGCACATAGTATGTGTTCAATAAATGGTGATCTTCTACCACTATGGGTGGTGCTTCTACCCATGGCAGGTACCTCAACTCTGAAATGTAGAAACCCACTGACTCCAGTCACATGAAGTTGGCAGCTGATAATTTGATGATGTTACCTCCCGGGGACAGGCCAACATCACCCAGTGTCCAGTCATGCAGTAAAAGGCGGCCTGTCCTAGCCTGGGAAGTCCCAAAGACCAAAGCAAAAAGTAAACAGTATGAAAGAAGATGCTAATACACTCTTTTTTTTTTTTTTTTTTTTGACAGGCAGAGTGGACAGTGAGAGAGAGAGAGACAGAGAGAAAGGTCTTCCTTATGCTGTTGGTTCACCCTCCAATGGCCACCGCGGCTGGTGCGCTGCGGCCGGCGCACTGCGCTGATCCAAAGCCAGGAGCCAGGTGCTTCTCCTGGTCTCCCATGGGGTGCAGGGCACAAGCACTTGGGCCATCCTCCACTGCACTCCCGGGCCACAGCAGAGAGCTGGACTGGAAGAGGGGCAACCGGGACAGAATCCAGCGCCCCGACTGGGACTAGAACCCTGTGTGCCGGCGCTGCAAGGCGGAGGATTAGCCTAGTGAGCTGCGGCGCCGGCCCGCTAATACACTCTTAGGAACACTCATGCTCCTACAAAATTTACAGTGTTTCCTGATCAAAATGTTCTGGGGAGAGAAGTGAATTCCCTTGGCATGCTTCTGGCTTTGACCAAGATGACAGTCTCACTCTAAGGCAGGACATCAAGAGCTGTGCACTAAACAGCTGATGCTGTTGGATGAAACCAATTCCAGCCCTCGTCACAGACTCTAGTGGCATGAAGTCTACTTTTTTTGTTTTCTAAGTGGCAAGACAACTGAATGCTGGCATAAGGAACACAAGGTGAGCAGGGTAGCCTGAGGCATAGAGGAATGGATGGACTGCAGCTTTAGGGCTCTCAATGACCCTAAAATGAGCTTTGTGTCATTACTTTGAGTGGCTTCAACCACATGTGGAGACTCCTTCAAAAGGACTTGTTGGAAGGGAGGAGCCTGGGTGAATTCCAGAGGTGTCAGAGGACCGCATCTAATTATTTTCCTGTTTTGAGGTGCAGGTGGAGCTATGCTACATCTTCATTCCTCTGCTGGGCTCCACAGTTTAGGTGGAGCTGGGGGCTTGACCTCTGTGAGCCCGAGTTTCATCGTTTGTTGTTAGAATGGGATTGCTCTGGGAACGCACCAGGAAAAGCACGTGTAAAGTACTTTGCTCTGTGCCAGGCGCCTAGTAAGTGCTTAAGGATTGAGAACTGTAGCTTCCTGTCAACTTCTGAATACCTTTCATGTAACCACAGTTATACTGCAGTGAAGGAAACAAAGCCCCAAGCTGTGGCTGCTTCTTCCAGATCACACAGCTCCTTGATAAAGTGCGGAACTCCCCATCTCAGGTTTCCCTACTCAAGATGGCTTTTTTTTTTGGGGGGGGGGGCTATATCCACTAACTCTCAAGACTCACTCAGGTGCCAGCACTGTGGCACAACAGTTAAGCTGGAATCTGTGACACTGACATTCCATATGAGTGCCAGTTTGAGTACCAGTTGCTCGACTGCATTAACTCTCTGATAATGCACCTGGGGAAGCAAGATGTGTTGGATGGCCCAGGTACTTGGGGCCCTGCCACATATGTGCGAGACTCAGTAGGGGTCCAGGCTCTTGGCTTTCACCTGGCCCAGCCCTGGCTGTTGCAGCCATTTGGGGATTGAATTGGTGAATGGAAGATTCTCAATCTCTCTCAATCTCAATCTTTCTCTCTCTCTTTCTTTCATTCTTTCTCCTTTCCTCCCTCCTTCTCTCCTCTCATCTTGCACGATCTCTCTCTCTCTCTCCCCTCTATACATTATGTAACTCTGCATTTCAAATAAATAAACCTTTAAAAAATAGTTGCTGGCTGAACGAGTGAGTGGGTGAATGAATGAATTCCGGAAGCAGCATCGTTGTCAGCACAGATGAAAGCCCTTTAACTTTCTGAGAGAAGGACCTGGAGACCTGCTTACTCTGCTTCCTGGCCCCCTAAGAGAACAGCACGAGGCTACCCGCGAGGCAGGGACCTTTCCAAACAGGCATCCCCCACAAAAGCACATCTTGCAGTCAAGGGGAATGGGCGGATAGTTGCTAATCGCATCTTCCAACTGGGCTGATCTTTCAAAAGTTCGAAAGGCGCCTGCCTCCATAAATCCCAGGCTGCGACTGCTGCTGCGGCTGCTGAGCCGGGAGAGGGGGCTGTGCTTGGGCGCCTCTTGGGCTGGCACGAAGAAGCCACATCTCCGCCTCCCTCCTCCCCCCAACTCCTCTCCAAGAGAGGAAGCAATGCAGATGGAGACGAGAAATAAATATTCCTGCCTGCTCTGTGCCACTGCAGACGTTTTCCAAAATGTCTGGCTTGGACCATGTAATCAAGCCCACCCAGGAAAGGAGGCGCCGAGCAGGAGAAAGAGGGGGAAAGGGTGGCATATTTGTCGGTCCTTGTCAGCTTTCTGGGGGGCAGAGCACACGGCTCGTACTTGGCAGCCCTGCTGAGGTGGGCACGTGGTACGTGCACAGTAATACTTGAAGTGTGGAATTAGAAATGGGAACGCAGGGAAGGAGATCATGCCAGAGAGGCCACACTCTCCTTCTACCTTTGACCAGGGTCCTAGGAATCCGCGGCTGCTGCTCTCGTTGCTCCCCGGCTGATTCTGTGACACCTGCTGCCCTGGCTCACCTATTCCACCTGTGCTCCACTCCCAGGGAAATTAACACGAAAGCCTTCGGAGGCCCTTTGAAATCTGGGCAGGAGCTCAGACTCCATGTGTGGAGATATTCCTGCCATCTCTAATACTGGCATCCTGGCAGGAGATGCCAAGACGGGCTGCAAATGATAAGTGGGTGCTTTTGGCCTCGGGGTGGCCAAGTGTGTGGGAGAAGCGTCACTAAGAAGGGAAGTTACAGGCCCAGCCACAGGCACCCAAGTGTTCTGCACTCTGCTGTCTCTGCTAGGCAGGCTGTGAGGCTGCAAAATGTCTCAGAAAAGGGAGAGGAAGGGATGGGAATTGCAACTTGAAAACTTCTGCGGGGGACGCACGAGGCTCTTTGTTGTTAATCCTCTTGCAAGACTCTCTTGGGTACCTTGCTCTCAACATCCCTGCGCGGGGCCACCTTGCACTGGTCCTCTCTGCAGGTCGGTAATTGTGGGTGGATTACAGTCCCTAAGCAGCACAAGGGTCGTCCTGGTTCTCCCAGGTTCAAATCCAATGCAGTCAAAAGAGCCGCTCACAATGCAGGTTCAGCGACCACACTGTTGCCTGTGCCTCTCAGGGGAGTATTTTCCAGAAATGCACTTGGTTCTCTTTGCACCATTTGCAGGACTTCACTAAGGCATGAAGCGATGTCTACTATTTCCCACCTGTGTGCCCTGGAGCCTTCCTTGTGAGCCTTCCCCACTCATCTGTCCATCTGCCTTCTAGTGCCATGCACCTGCCGACCGAATCCCACTCTCTCCAGGAAGCCACTTGAGAGTGTTCGGGCGGGGGGAAAGCTGATAGGAGACTTGGGATCCTGTCCCCACTCTGCCCACTGCTGTGTGACCTCAGGCAAATCACTCCCTCTCTCTGGGCCTCGGTTTCTGTGTTTGTCAAGGGAGTGCGTCAGGCAGCTTTGCTTTTATGGGTGGCTCTTCAGAGCAAAACTCAATGGAATTCCTGTCGCCCTTCTTTCCCACCCCAGCTATGCCAATGAACTCCAGGGACTGAGATCATCTCTCTTCTGGGACTGAGTTCAATCCTGACAGTTGGGAAGGTCACAGCTGCCTATCAAAACCTGCTGGACACATGCATGCACATATGCTATACAGAGCGACCTTCCAGAGTCTTCTGTCTATAATTCCCAGGAAGACTACCGTCTGGATTAAGGGAAGACCAATGCAGGGTATATGCAGAAATGAACTGTGAGCATGTATGTTTGCAACGCTTAATAATTACAGTTGCTGTCTTTTGTTATGATAGTCACCTTTCTTGAAGCTCACCCTGTGCTAAGGCTATGCTAAGCTTTCACCTTGTTTACTCTTCTTGTTCCTTATCAAAGACATTGTCCACCTTACATTTCCTTACAGGTAGGAAAATAGGCTTGGAGAGGGTGAGACACCTGCTCAAGGTCACACAGCTGCTTAATAATGATCATGGGATTTGAACTTGGCTCTGTTGGACCGCAACAATGATGTGCCGCCCACTACGCTTTGCTGGGCCCTCTCTCGGCATTTACTCTATGGGAGATTCCCCAGACAGCAAGGCTGTTTTAAAGAACCAAAGGCAGAAGGTCCTACACCGACTGTCTTTCTGGTGGCACTGTCAGAGGAAAACAGTGGATCTCAGGGCCAGTAAGAACTCTGCTGTCACAAATGGCAGAGGCACAGGTGGCTGGGGTGCTCACCTAGCACCGGCAAGGGTGAAACCTGGTGCCATTTCCATCAGTCCTTCGCCAGTGAGGACCACACAAGTGTAACTGCAGCCCTCTCTGATCGCCTCGTCTCTATTTGCAATTTTCAAAATTAATGTTCTACATTACAGAGGAGGAGATGATGGCCCACATGAAGTGATTTGCCAAAGATGGAAATTCTCGGTACTCATACACAAAAGTGTGTGTGTGTGTGCTGTGGACAGAGACGTACATACAAATTGCACGTTTCCCCCAAAATAGGAATGGAGTTGGATTCCCTGCTGCTATGGAATATCCTGCGTATTCTCTCAGTGTTAAGCTTAGACATGGCGAGTTGAGTTGACTACAGTTCACTCCCCACACAAAACCAAAACAAAATCACACACCAGCACCCTTTCCCAGACCCACATCCAAACTCACACTAAAATCAGGCAAGAAAGTCGCTCAGTACTTACGGTAAATGACAGAAAAGAAGAAAACAAAGTCCCTTCGTCATATCTGGATAATTTTGCCAGTACTCCCTCCAAGATAGTAACGAACTAGAGAGACAGCAAAAAGAAAAGCAATATTATTCCCAACTATAATTGTTAACAGTAAAGAGCCACTTTTTCCAAGCACACAGAGACCGGATTGAGCCCTGTGCTCATTTGTGCATTCTATTATTTGATTCCCGCCTTCAGAGAAAGGAAGAGACTGCCTTGACATGGAAATATTTGACTTATCCGGCTTTCTCTTTATTATTATGTGATTGCAAATATAGAGTGTTACAGAAGTGCAAAGTGACAAAATATTATTGAGTTGCATATAGCATGCGATAATATTAAATGCACTTTTCAAAATCCAAAACTGCGCAAAGCAGTGTTTCCGTTACATATTAGCACTACATTTAATCCAATCTATTTTTATTTGTATTTTATCAGTAATTTGGGGGAAACAGAAGTTCAGCACTGGCAAATATAAATGCCTTCCCATTCAGCATGACTTAGTTAAAATTCTATAATTCATGAGGGTGACGGAAATAGCTTTATCTGACTTTTATGTTTTATTATGACTCTCACTGCATGTGAAACTAGAGGAAAAGGGGTTTTCATGATGGCAGAATTCCTTATTACCGCTTAACTTTCTGTATTTAAAAATCTAACTTGATCAGTGCTGGAAAACAAAACAAACATTTCCTGCATCACCTAGTGCCACGTGTGGGAACAAATTCTTATTAAGTTCCCACACGCCGCTTCATCAATTTCTCTTCACACGGCTCGCAAGCATCAGAAAAATCCTTCAGAGCCGAGGCGGGCTGATGTACGATTCTGTTTCCTGCGAGATGTGAGGGCTCAACTCAACTTTTTAACGTGTCACATTTTAATGGAAATGCAGACATAACACAAATAATGTTCACAATGAAACATTTCAGTGGAAGCTGAAGGTTACCTTTGCAACCAAGAGGGTTATCATTTCTTTAACAGTTTCTTCAATTAGTTCATCTATTTTTGAATGGTACTGATGCTGAAGAACACAGAAAGACAAATATTAGCATGTTTGGGAGGCAACGGCCCTGCCTGTCTCAGGGCTTGTAGACAACACAATTTATAAATACAGCTTGGCCTGCAGATGCAGCTTATCATCACAGTCCCGGCAGCATCCAGAGGATTTGCACTTCGGGTCTTTGAGGAAGCCAGATCTGAGGCTCCTAAGAAAAACATACTACCGAGCTTCCTGTTCCTCGCAAATGGCCTGTGTTGCATGGGCACATACACATATGTACCAATGACATACATGATAGCCTAGCAGTGCATTGACAGGGATCCTATAAGGCAAGGTACCAGAATCGACTAACATGGGCGATAGGAGATGACCTTTGGGAAACCGTATGGGATGGGAGTGGGGTGTGTGGAATCCTTCCAAAGGGCTGTTTGCCCAAGACACTGTGACTGATTTTACAAAAACTGCTCTGAAACTTCAGGCACTTGGGGTTAGCGCCTCTGAGCTCCCCAGTTTTGTCTGCAGGGATGGTCTCAGAGTGAAGCCAAGTGTCTGTTCTGAACCCTCGTGGTCACCGCTCCTTTTCTCCTTCCATGGAGAAGTAGTCCTAAGCCTACAGCCTCTCCACTGAGCCCACCGCTAAGCTTTTCAATTTTTCTAACCAAGGCTGTCGATTAAATTTAAATAGGATTGTGAAAACAAACCCCCACACAAACAAAAATCTGCTGTAAATGCCAAGGAAAAAGGAAAAGCGTTTTCAACACAAATATTATATGCCAGCTCCTTGACATTTATTAGATCATTTCAGTATCCATTTGAACTCTTCCATACTTCCTTAACAAAAAATAACAATGGGAAACATTGTTATTTGGAAAGGAAAACGCACTTACCCACTCTTTAGCAAACTTTCAGAAGGATGATTAATTAGGAACAGAAAAAAATAGGGCAAATAAAAATTAGGACCAAAGGACACATGACAAAATAAAAATTAAATCAACCATAAATTAAATAAATAAAAGCTAGGGAGACATATGAGAATAAGCCAGAGTGATGTTGTTTACTATTCTGATAACAGGCAAGAAATGATTCAGAGTGAGCAAAGAGATGTGAACTATGTTCATTCATTTAAAGTCATAGGGGAGATTTGTGGTAATTGGAAGACTTGCATAAAATCCCAGTGCAAAGTTGAGAGGTCAGGTTGCATATGAAAATTTAGCTCAGTTTCCTTATCTGTAAAAAACACAAAAGAAAACAAACAAAACGTGATAATACAAGTGCCCAGGACCAATGAGATGGGAAGAGGCCATATAAATCACTGATTCTGGAAAAGGAATGAGGCAAGTCCTATATAAATAGTTTTAGCTCTACATTTCAAAATAGCCATAAGAGAGGTTTCTTAAACATTCTCATCATTGGAGCTGACACTGTGGCATACTGTGCTAAGCCTCTGCTTGCGGCACAGACATCCCATATGGGTGCTGGTTCGAGACCCAGCTGTTCTCTTTCAATCCAGTTCTCTGCTATGGCCTGGAAAAGCAGTGGAAGATGACCCAAGTGTTTGGGCCCCTGCACCCATATGGGAGACCCAGAGGAAGCTTCTGGCTCTTGGCTGCGGATTGGCCCAGCTCCGGCTGCTGCGGCCATTTGGGGAGATGGCCTTCTCTGTCTTTCCTTCTCTCTGTTGTCAACTCTACCTCTCAAATAAACATGGAAAAAAATCTAAAAAAAGCTCTTATCATAAAGAAATAAGTATGTAAGGTGATAGATACCTGATTTGATAATTATACAATGTAAGAATGTATCACAATGACACTGTCCCCCTTAAATATGCCTATATACAATTGTGTTTCAATCAAAAACAAAATAAAACTTACAAAGAGATTTGTGGCTGGTCTATAAGGCAGAGCACAGGCCCTTTGCAGGCTGCCATGTTCTTAGATTTATAGAATTGTTTTGAAGGTCAAGCAAAGATTTGGGTGTCGCAATCATGGCATTCAAATATCTGACCCAGTTCATCAGATGGAAGCCAGGGGTAGGGAGAGACAATCTTATTCCTTAGTCATCTCCTTCAATTTCATTTTAGTTGATTAGAGGAAAAGGTATAAAGCCAACAGCCGGCGTTGTGTGGTCCTAATAAATCAGATCCCTCACTGGCTCTACTGTGTGATCTCAGGCAGGATTTACTCCTTTGGGGCATAAACCTGAAGCTAAAGGCAAGAAAAATTATCTGCAGAATTCTGTGCTTGAGATACAAAGAAAGATATCAGAGCAAGAGAATTCAGGAATATTGACAGGGCTCCAAATTCATTTTTAGGTCTTGAGCTAAGATCCAGAATCACATACTTTCCCTACTCATGTGACTGCCTTACTTCACTAGGTTTTCTCCGGATTGCTATATATGATTCACATTTATTAAATTAATTATGAGATCTCACTCAAACAGAAAAGCTAGCTGTGTGCAAATCATACAGTATCAGGTATTAAACGAGGGGTTGCTTAACAAGCTAAGAAAAGCACTGTTGAGATTAGAAGCAACGTCCTGAAAGACTAGGCTGAAATGTTAGACACAAGAACAACTGCTCCACACACCAAGCAGCATTGAGGGTGTTGGTGGGAGGAGTTGATGCCACTTCTGTACCTTTGGCAGCTGGGACAAAACCTTAAGCCCTATCTTATGGAGGTACACGGCTTACAGAGACATGACGGTTTATGGACACTTACCACTTTGAATTTTCCCAAGGGAAACTTGGCCCTAATTTCTCTCCAGGTAGTTCCACTGTCTCTCCCTTCCACTTGGGACAAATACGATCAGCACCCTTTCGTTATAGTGAACAATTCTCTTGTTTTACTTAGAAAACAAAGTGTTTTGGTAGCACTTTTCTGCCTGTTACTTCCAGGGGGAAACGTAGATGTCATTCTCTGTTGGCCGATTTCCTTGTTCTGCAAATGGGGCTACAATTGTCACTGCTATGAATAAAGAAATCATACACCAAAACAAGTGATGAAATAATGTATGGCAACATGGCTCAGAAACAGAAATTCTGTGTAGTTGGATGCATGGACATCGTGGTTTAGGAGTGCACTTCTCTCAACTTATCTCAAACCTACACATTTTACTATATGTAAACAAGGTCTCCAATAAAATAAAAATGACTCTGGGGGAAGATAGGAGGGTAGGATAATAATTCCTGCTTATCATGGAGCAACACATGTAATGCCTGTCAGTATTAAAACGGCCCCAATTACTGGTCAGGTAATTGCAAAATATGTGAAACTCTTTTGCAAGATTTTTCTGACATATGAGACCTATTTGATTAATTTGCTTTGCTGGAGCAATAAAAAGTACTCTGTCTTTGCCTCTTCCCTGGGGATATATTGTGAATACAGACGTGAAGCTCCACGCAGGGCTACAGATACCACTGGGGCATCTTTTAACTACCGTCTTCCCAGCTAGACTGTTTTATGACAGCAGTCTGATTATCTAATTCCATCTGCATCCTAATATGGGTACAAAGAGGGATGGATCTTTCCCATTGTTTTTCAGGTCTGTCTGGAACCTTCTTAGATTAATGTGATCTATACCCCTAAATTACACTCTAAGTGCCCTGGGTCATGGTGATGGCTACCAAGGGAACTGCTGATCTTCTGTGGTATTGAAAGTTTGGAGACTGAACTTTTGTGTCTGATGAGCTACACTGCTGCAAATTCACAATCACTACGTGAAAATCATTCCACTTGACTTCCTGTGCTGCACATTTTGCCTTGTCATGGAACAGATTGTGTGTATGTTGTCTTTCTGTGAAGACCATCTGACCTTGGAAATGAGATGAAAACACACTAGACCAAGTGAGAAACTATTTAATACACAATTTTTTCTCTATTGGTACTTCACAAATTTTAATGAAAAAATAAATATTTAAGATGGAAAAGTATGGTTAACAAATGTTTCAACAGCTGCCTTTAGATGAGACATTACCCCAATGATGAAATTCAGGAAGTGATCTTAAAATTGGAGATTTTATCATCTGGCTGGTATCTAATCTAAAACAGGTTGAAGGACTGGGAATAGAGGTGGAGGCCAGAATTAGACACTAGATCTATAACATGAGCTTCATATCCAATGCTCGGAAGGGGCAAATTATACAGAAACACTGGAATTCCACCTCTTTTTCTTGATTTCAGAATGCTTCCAATCATCATTGACCAACCTCATTTTAACAACTCAGTTCTATGTCAGTGATGAATACTCTCAGTCTACAAAGTGAGAGAAGTCAAGGAGGGACCATTTCCATATGACTGCCCAATGAAGTTCTGCTCAAGGTCACTGTCACTTGGCCAGGCTACGCAAAGGAAAAACACATTTTCAGACAATGTGTCTGGCTTCATCCTTTCTGTTCTCAGCTGCTCAACCTTCTAAGATGAGATGGAGTCTCACTTCCCACAAGTTGGTCATTCAGACAGCTCTGATTTAACTATACCATGAACAAATGTCATAGGTCTCTCTTGCATGGATGGGCTTCAAAGCCGTGTTGGATGGGCTCTTAATAAAGATATTTAGTCTGGGGATATGTGCAGTGCAGTATTTTCGGTTTACAAACCTCATTTATTATTTTCATTAAATATAATTTTGAGGTATAAGAAGAAAATATATGTAGTCTTTTCTCTTTTACCAAACAATTTCCAGAAAGAAACAGGTATCATTAGGCGGCCTCAAAAATGTCAATATTTAAATCAAAGTCAACTGTCTAATTTCACATCCAGAAGATGGGGAACCTTATTTACAATTGTAGCAAGCTGTGCACTTCCCAAAGGTTGTACACTGAAGGCAAGTCTTTCGTTTGCTAAACGATGGCAGTAAGGTTACTAGAGAGCTTCGTGGCCAAGCTCGTGTAGCTTGTAGGGCTTGTAGGATGCAGTGATTAAACCACTAGACAGCCATTTTTCTACCAGAGTAGGTGCCAAGCTTAAGTGAAGGTCATTCTACTTCAGCAAGTGTTCAAAGGGTATGTTGTGATAAAATTCAGTCTCCTGAAAACTGTATAGTAATTGTGTGTGAATATATTTTTTTTCTGTAAAATGGCTCCATACCTTTTATCAGATTTCATCAATGGAGTTTTTGACAATTCTCCTATTCTCATACACTCCCAACCACCAGTTCAAAAAGAAAAAAAGGTCAGAGTGACTTGGCTTATTTCAAAGAATTGTTTAGCCACCCGCCCAGGTGTGTGAGAACTCTCTAAACATGGCTATGGTTGAGTTGGTGTGGACAGGTTCTGTAAAGCTTGGTGATTGTTATCATTTTGTCCCTTACCCACTCTGGCACAAAGTCATCCTTGTGAAACTTAGTGACAATCTATACCTAGAAAGCAATGATGGAAATGGATATATAAGATTTCATCAAATGTAAAAAACTCTTTTTTTGCTCTCATGAAAATTTAGAAAGACAACTCACAGAATGGGAGAAAATATTTACAGAGTATGTATATGACAGTGATATAGTGTCCAGAATATGTAAATATTACTCTTACAGCTCAACAATAACAAGATAATTAAGCCAATTTTCCAAAAAAGGGTATCTTTAAGGAAAACATAAAAATGGCAAAATCAGCAAAGGAAATGAGGTTAAGCAATGCCACAAAACTACAAGAGGTACTTCTTCATACACACTGGGATGGCTATAATTTATAAGACAGATAAATATTGGCTAAGATATAGAGACTGGGTTTCTCATATATTGCTTATGGGAATGTGAAAGTAGTTCAGCCACTTTGGAAAACAGTTTAGCAGTTTCATAACAAATGGAACATAAAGCAACCAAATGACACAGTGTTTCTGCTCCTAGGTATGTATCAGAGCTGAAAAAACAGGTCCATGTGAAAATTTGTACATGGATGTTCACAGAGACATGATTTTCAACAGTTAAAAGTGGTAACAATTCAAATGTCTATCAATAAATGAATAAATAAATAGAACTTGGTATATCCATAGAAGGGATTATTACTCACCAACCAAAAAGGACCAATATATGTTCCAACATGGTTGAAATCTTGAAAACACTATGCTATGAGAAAGCAGCCAGACACAAAAGGCCACACATTGCATGACTGTGTTTACAGGAAGTGTTCAGAAATCAAACCCTTAGAGACAGAAAGGGCACTGGCAAAGAAGGGAGGGAGCAGTCCTGCAGTCATGATTAATGTGTACTTGGTTTCTTTTTTGGGGTGCTGACAATGTCTTAAAATTGATTGTGGTGATGGCTGCATAACTGAATATATACTAAAAGTACTGACTTGCTTTCTTTAAGCCAGTGACTTTTATATGGCATATAAATGACACATATATTATGTCATATATATGTATATACCCAAACATACATATATGTATATAAAATAGCTAAAGCTCCAATGGGACAAAGATTCAGGAAGAAGAGGAGTCTGGAAAATACAAACCCAAACAGATGTTAGTGAATTTCAGAGAGTCCCCAAAACAAAACAAGGATTTTTTTGTTTTGTTTTGTTTTTGTTTTTGACAGGCAGAGTGGACAGTGAGAGAGAGAGAGAGACAGAGAGAAAGGTCTTCCTTTGCCATTGGTTCACCCTCCAATGGCCGCCGCAGCCAGCGTGCTGTGGCCGGTGCACCGCGCTGATCTGAAGGCAGGAGCCAGGTGCTTCTCCTAGTCTCCCATGGGGTGCAGGACCCAAGCACTTGGGCCATCCTCCCCTGCCCTCCCGGGCCACAGCAGAGAGCTGGCCTGGAAGAGGGGCAACTGGGACAGAATCCAGCGCCCCGACTGGGACTAGAACCCAGTATGCCAGCGCCACAAGCGGAGGATTAGCCTAGTGAGCCGTGGTGCCGGCCACAAAATAAGGTTTTAAAAGAAGGCTCTGCTTAAGGCATTGAGAGTGCCCCAGAGAAGCTTGCGTGGGTGGTAGGGACGCAGGCGGTATTTTGTTCCAAATTAAACTTATGCTTTAATTCCATGTTTCCATGAGCCCTTTGGAGAACTCTTCTATTTGTTTTCCATACTAGTTTGAAGAACTAGTTACGTAGCTAGAAACAGCCTAGAGAAAACTAGAACAGTGATGTCATTTTACAGATGAGGAAACTGAAGCCCAAAGGGGCTGCATGACCTGTCCAACTCCATTTTGCAACACAACCAGGGAGAGAATCTAGGTGTCTGCACATTAGACCCAGCCCTTCCTTCAAGGGGGCTACTATAGGTATCCAAGCCCTTCTCTTTAACTCATTTTCAGATACGGAGCCTCCAACCAGTGGTTCTCCAAGTGTGATTAGTGTTATGTCAGCACCGTGTGCATCACCAAGGAGCTTGAGAGAGATACATGTTCTTAGACCACACCCTGAAGCTATCAGACAGTCCTGGGGGAGACCCAGTGATCTCTGGATCAGTGTCACACATGCTGGCATTGGAGAACCATTGCTCCAGGTCATGCACATGCTGCAAATGGAGCCAGGAAAGAGGACAAGGGCCCTGCATTTGACTCCATTGCCTAGAACCCAACCCCAGGGAAAGGCTTGACAAGAAAATCAGGCCGGAGCTGAAGCTCATGGGGTGGCTCAGGCAGCTGACTTGCAGGGGAAACGAGGTTGGATGTGATTTTGCCAGGAAGAGAATACCACCAACCCACATTTAAAAATGGAAGGTGCTGAAAGAGAAAATAAATAACGAATAAGGAGCAAATATAATTTAGTAAAAATTCTAAGCATGTAAGGCTGGTATCGAAAGATCTGATTTAGGAGCAATTTATGCCAATTGGCAACAACACAGAGTTGCCAGAAATGTTTCTGAATTAATTCTAAATTGGTATATGAATATCTAGCTGGCTTAAGGCCATCAGAGAAAAATGATCATGATAGTCTTTAATCAGGCCCAAGTTGCTGTTTCCTTCTTCTTTACATTTTAAATACCGCTTTGGAATTGGAAACTTAGCAAAGGACTAAACTTTTGGTCAGGGAAGATTCACAATCAACCCAATCTAAGGAAAATTCAAAGTATATAATTTTTAAAAAAATCAGAACCTGCTGGCTGGGGATTGGATAGATCTAACGTTATACATCCTGGATGTTATTTGGTGCAAGAAAGAGCTCTCCTGCTGGCCAGATGTTCAAAGCGATAAAATGGACTTCCAATGTGAAAACGACTTGCACTTTGGCAAACACAGACCTGGTGGGGATAACAGCCCAATAAATAAGGTCATCAAATGTCAATCAGACTAAAGGAAGCTTACAGCCACCCCAGATCCAAAGGAGCCTACCAAGTGACTGGCAGTCTCATCAGCACACACCACAGACATTCACTTTACAGATACCAAACACTCATTTGTGGCTTAATCCACAAATGTTAGATTTTTCAGGAACTAGCGGACTAGGGCAGATAGAGGGAACTTGTGAAGTTTTCTTCTACAAGATCAACGGAGAAGGGATTTTTTTTTTTTTTTTTTTACCTCTTGGCCCATTTCCATGCTGCAAAGTTTTGTTGATTGAGCTTTGGCATCAACCATAACATTAAACATGGTGCATATTGACTGTGGGACTCGAAAATCTGTTGATCGACTGGTTTTTTGCAGCTTAACTTCAAATGCAATCCTGGTTCTATTAAAACAAAGTAGGAAAAGACCAATTCAGTGTTCAGATGGCAGCAGGTGGAGGAGACATTTTCTGAGAGGTCAGTGAAAAAGAAAATTGAAGCTGTAATCAGTGGCAATGGACAATGACTTCACATGAGTTCTCTTTGAAATGACTTTCCCAACTAGGGGAGGGCTATTCACAGAGACAGCCACGCATACCCTGCCTTTCTCAGCAGTTCACAGAACACCTGTAGCTTTGCGTATTTCTGTCTATAGTCTACATGCTATGGAGAACCCGCATTGCAGGAGAATGAATGAATGAACAAAAACCCGATTACAGCATTATAGCATATGTACGTTCTCTCACATTGGCAACTGCCTACCTTAAATCACTTCATTACAAAAACAAAAAGGCAGTTTCTAATCTTCAAACTCTCATGGTGGGGAAAAATCTTAAATGGCTTTTTGTTTTTTTTTTCTGCTTTTGAAAGAGACTGAAATTACAACCAACGATCAAGCAAGTTTATTCTATTGCTCTAAAAACTGGAAAATATTTTCTGCTTGTTAAAGATCATCAAAAGGAAATATATTAAGCTCTCAATGACAGCTACTTTCAGAGAGGGGAATGAAATCGGAAGATACGGTAGGACATTTCACCATGGTTTTTAGTTGTTGTTTTCAATGTCACTGTATGACTCTGCAACAAAACATTGTTTTTATAATTAAGGAAGTCTAACATACTTAATATACAAATATTCTGTATATGCTTAATTTACAACACAAGAATCGTGTCATAATGTAATTTTAATGTAATGTAATTCTCACATAGGTCAAATTATGACCTGGGAATGTGCTAACCACTCCTAGAAAAAACCTAGCCTCACAGGGCCAGCTGGTAATATAGCTATGAGATCAAATCCTTGCCACCAGCCTTGTCAAGGGACCCAGTTCTATTTTAAAGGGTTTCAGAGAAGTGGGAGCCCTCATCACACCTCCTGAAAGAGAAAGCACCTGGTTAGTGAGCAGCTTTACAAAAGTCCCTTTCATCAAATGCATCTTTTCAGCCTTTTTCTCTGTCAAGTACAGGAGTTGATGCGGCCACCAGGAAAGCATTGCTTTAAGAGGAACTGGTGGCAGTTTTCTAACAGCGCATAGGAGGACCACACAGCTAGTGTGCGCAGGAAAGGATGCCAGCTTGCTAACACACCCTGGGTGCATGCATGGAAGCCAAGTATAATTTCTAAGGTTGGAAGCCCAGTTCTTAAGAAAAAAAAACTTAAAAAAATATCAAAAACCTCAAACCCTTAAAACACCCCTATAGATTATACGATCATGTTAAAGATAACTGCATTTTGGCTTGCAAAGACTCAGTGCACTGAAGTAGCTTTCTAATCATGATGATCATTTTAAGCTGCGCTGAAAATACATCTTTTTTTTGTGAAGAGGAGGCCTGATGGGGACTGAGTTGGACAGGTCCCTGTGCTGATCCTCTGAGGCTTGTGTGCCAGTTCCGGCCCTATTTGAGAAATAGAAATGTTAAATCGCTCCCTTCCAACGAAGCAATCATCTTCTGTTTTCACAGGAGAACTGTTCATAGCCTTTGGAGTACAGGGCTGCGAAAAGAGGAAGCTGAATGCAAAATTAATATGACTGAGAGGGCTCACTGGGATGGAAAAGCCAAGAATGGAGAGGTCACTTAACCCACCTGGCTCTCTGCAAGGGCATAATCATGCTGCCTGCTCTTATGTTCAGTACAAACTTGATACAGACCAGACTAGAGGCTCTGTAAATGTCTGTAAAATGAATGAATTCAGATTTTTTTCTGTTTTGGAAAATTAGACACAAAGAATGCTTGACCAATTTTTTTGGCATTGCATGTTTATGTCTGAAACGGCATCCTTACCACACTGTCCTGGGACAAGGGTTACTTGTTCTGTTCCAAAATGTAAAACAATGGTTCTAGGCTCTCTTCTTACGTAGACCCTGTGCCTTCAACGACTCAAGGACTTCTTCAGGGTCTCCTTTCTGAGTCTGGAGGTCTGGGGAGGCTGTTTCCACTTACTTTTGCTCTTGTCTGCTCTTGTGGTTTATGTCTGGGACCTTAACTGGAAGGGACATCAGGAAATTCAGGGCTCCAGGGCCACACAACTGCAGTAGGAGGTTACTTACCAGCTACTGAGTGCAGGGCATGCCGCTGGGGCCTGGGCAGGGCAAGGAGCAGCAAATGAACCAGACTGCCTCCCTGCTCTAAGGGCCTCACCCTCTTCTGGTGTCTGAACCCAAAATATGATTCCCGTGTGTCTGTAAAGTAAACACCTGTGGTGCAATGGTTTTGGCATTAGAAGCACACACTTTTTCCAAAATTGGTATGGACTATGTAGGAACCGAAGGCAAACCTTAGAGAGACATGTTGACCATGGGTTTGAGAAATGGGTCTGTCCTTGGTTCTAAGACTGAAAAGAGCAAAACTCAAAGTCTCAGACACTAGGACTTTCAGCTTCCAGGAGGGGCATCATACTCTTGCCCAGGTTCTCCATAGCACACGAAGCACCTCTTCTCATTCCTGCCAAGATGCCGCTCAGCAACCTAGAATCGTGTTGTTCTTTTGCCCTCTTGGTTTCCAATTCGGCTACTTTGCTTTCCCCAAGATTTAAAATGATGAATTCCCAGCACTTCTGGGCTGAGCCAGCCCTGATCATCCCATCATCACAAATGATCCGTCAACTAAACTACAGCTGGAGAGCTAGAGTGGCCTGTGTTGCTTGTGGTATAATTTTTGAATGAGGAAAAATGAAGGCACAGTTATGAATTGGAAAAGGAACTTGTCTGGGGGTAGGCAGGGTGATGCTGAAAACATGCAGTCCTTGGAATTTCCATTCTGTAATTGATACACAGACGTTGATACTCCGTGAGAGAAGGAATGTGGTCATTATATGCCAAGAACTTAGCACTATGCCCCATGGATGGGAGAAGCACAACCTATTTTTTGTTGAACTGATAAGTATTGATAAATATTGACCTCATTTCTTCCCCTCACGTTCTCAGGTGTTTCCACAAGGCAGCATCATTCTTACCCCAATGCCGTGGGCCACAGTGACAAAGCACACAGTTTGTGAGAAGACAAAATGTATGTTCAATGTTTCAAGCTTCCTTGTTTATGCTCAGTTAGACTTGGGGCAAGGCAAGTGATAGCTGGCATTCACTGGGTACTCACTTCATACACACAGAATGACGAACAATACTTGGGTCCTGCCTACCTTCATGGAAAATGACTGAATTCCTGCCACATATCCTAGACATGCTGACTCTAGAGCTGTTCAGTCTTCTCCCTTCCAGCTGTCCACCTAACACACACCTACCTACCCCCCCCACACTGAACAAGTATCTACAAGAGGTCTTTAAAAAGTTTGTGTAAATGCATCGAGTTTGCAAATACTTTGCACCAAAATAAACTCACCTTTTAATTCTATCTTTTTTCATGAATATTTTGAAGTACCCTTGTCCTAGGTAAATACTTTGTGCCACACACCATGAATACTGGGATGTGGAGATAAACAGGAAGTGTCACGGGTCTCTTTCTCGTGGACTGCTAGTAACGGAAAAGTTGGCAGCCAGATTACTTTGGGTTTGGCACAGATAGGGGAGGGCAGGCAACTACAAGCGAGACTTGGGCATTCAGCTGACTTTCCCAAGCACCACCTTCTCCGAAAACTCCCAATCATGGCTGTTGCAGGAGTAGCTATCCACAACTCTTTTCCAAGTCAGTGTCTCATGGGAATGGTGTGCAGCGCCTGTCCAGCTGATGGGACTTACCTTTTGACACAAGACTCAATCATGTCACTTGCCATCAACTTCAGCCGTTGTTCCAGGTGCTTTCCAAACTCTTCCTCAGGCCAGTGCAAGTCCCGAATGAAGGTCTGAAGGGCGTCGAGTTTCCAGAACAGATCTTCCGAAGTGCCTGATCCATTACTGGCAGGATAAGAATCAGAAGGCAAGAGTCACGGTCTGATCTTGGGCTCGGAAGGAAGCGACACAGACAACTGGGAGCTACAGGGCTAAAGGCAAACAGGGGCTTCAACATACAAAAACGACGTGTGTGGGCGGTGGAGGTGGGGGCAATCTCCACCAGCAGATTTTGAGTTTTACCATACATGACTTTGTCTGCTTTGCTCGGCCAATTGCTCCAGACCAGCGGGAAGTCTGAAGAAGGGATAGTCCCAGAACCACTAGGAGAATGGTGTATGGTAAAAATCAGCCTTCTTTCAATAACCACATTAACACATGTGATGATTCAGGTGAAGGCCACGAACCAGGCGGAGAAGTCAGTTTAGACGGATAATAACTACATGGCCACATGCAGTTATTAAACCTCAGGGTGTCATGCATTTCCCCAGCTTCCCTCCAGAGCGGAGGCCTCTTGGAGATTGCACAAGCCTTCTGGTTTTCAAAGGACAGTGCTAACAAAGTGGTGAGCGAGGACCTGCTTTCTCTCTTGAAGAGCTGAAAGAAACTGGGATGACTCAGATGGAGACGGGTACACCTGCATACCTTGAATGCAAAAATTCGTGTTCACTGTGGCGATGACGCCAGTTTTCAAAGACCAGCCTGTTGCATCATAGGCAGCCCCAGGATGAGTGACTCAGGGCAGGGAAGGCGAGCGGACAAAGGATTTTGGCTATGATTTTGGGCTCAGAACCTGAGCTCTTTGACCGTAGTACCATCTTACCCAGTCCTCTCTACAGATGGGGAAATGGGTCAGGATTCCTTTCTGTCCAATGACCTCTAAGACACTTTGACCTGGGGCATTCAGGGAAACCCTGTGCACAGGAAGCGCTCCATCTCTCGCCCTCTTGCCTTTCTCTGGCTGGCTTTCTGTTTGGTAAGAATCCCATTTGGAGCTCAGAGGGGTGGCCACCCCCCACCCCCTTCCTCGCATACCACTAATGCCAACACGGTAATTTATAAAATGTCCAACACACCATGCATTACCACTTGTTCTGACATCGTCTATAGAAACAGATGAGAGTGGGTGTTTCTATTGTGACAGATGCCAGCTGCATTGAATTAATGCTTCAGAGAGAAATATAGCTAGTGCATAAACGCATACACAGCTACTGCAGGGTGGGGAGGAGCAAACTCCCAACATGCCGAGAGGGAGCCTACGGCCTTGGACCAACAGGGTCACGTTTTAAGGACAGACCAGTCTGAGGTCAGTACGCAGATGTATCTGACAGGAAGGAGCAGGTAACATGGAAACACATCCTTAAAATGCAAGGTGGCAAAGGAGGAAACTGGAATTATGAAAAGATATAGAATCAGGCATTTCCTGGTGGGTGACTGAGACCCTAAGTCTTCTTCTCAGACACAGCCATGACCACTGTTTGAAAGTAGGAGGGGGGATGTGCTCTCTCCCTGGGAAAGTTCAGTCTTCCCTCTACCCCGTCCTAGGCTTGGGAAAAAGAACCCCCCAACTTTGTCTAGTCTAAGCCCCGTTTTGGAACTGCATGGTTTATGTTTTAAATCATTAAGTACATATGAATGCAATAATTGGTATTTATTACAACAACATTTTGACACCCATCTGGTTTCAGAGTTTCAAAAAATTCTTGTAGGGTTTTTTTCTTTGAAGAGCTTATTATTAAGTTTTGACATGAGGAAAAGAATATTTTCTTTTTATTTTTAAGATAAACTGTTAATGTTAAGGCAATAGCACCAAGATTATTTTGATTGCTGAGCAGTTACCAAAATGTGTTCCCACTGATGCCTTAATTAATTGAATGGAGACCATTATCTGCTTTATTACAATGTCTTGATTCATATCTTTTCAAAAACAACGTCACAGAGCATGCACGGAAGAAGGCAAGAGAAGCTGTCAGATATTAATTTTCTAATTTTAAACAGCTACTACCTAATCTAACTTTTAATACAGTCATCTTAGCATGAATATGACTCGTGTTTTTTTCTTTAGATGTCAATTTTGAGAGGCTGTAATTTGTTTCTACGACAGAATCAGACACACTGACCATGCAAATTAAACGCTGGGCAGCTTTGGGGGAGCCAGGCAAAGCAGCCGTTTGAATGTCCCGTTCTCTACCTGGCTTGCCGCAAAAAGAAAAATGCTGAGGGCCATCTTGATGTGTGCGATTTCGAGATTTCAAAACATTACTGCCAGTTTCAGATCATTTTTTATTCCTTTGATAATAACACTTCCCTTTGAAAATGTGCCAATTTATTCTTTCAAGAAAAAGCTTATCTGGCCTATAATTAGCTGTGGTTTAAGAAAAGGATCAAAGGAGGGTATAGAATCGCTAAACCTTATTTCACTTATTAAATCATGCATGTGGTTCTAATTTTATTTCCCTGGGGGAGAATCTAGGGGTGCTACATCTTCTCTTGCTGAGGAGAGAGGATTTCCTAAACTAGAAGAAAAGACCCCTCAACCCCCACTCCTTTAAACTGTTGGCTTGGAAGATGTGCTCCCGGCTCCAAGAACGCAACCCTATGCAACCCGGACACTCGTATGCACGAATGTCAAGAACAAGGCTCTACATGGGCCACAGACGATACAGCTAACTGTCGATTCAACGATCTGTTGTTTGAATCTTAGGCTCTCAGTTTAGGGGCCCTGCTTGCTACCTAGATCTCAACACTCCATATTGTATCTTCATATAACATTTCTGCTACTAAGGTCTGATCCGTTTAGTACTTTTCATTTAGCCCTGAACATACTGTTACTATACACTGCCATTTGCTGACACCAGAAATATGCTCATGGTTTAAACAGTCTCCAGGAATTTTTCGCTTTTATTTTTAAAACCCCAAGCTTCTGGGTAGGTATACCTTCCGTCCTAAACTTAGACCGGGCCAGTGTTAGCTGGCCGGCCCATCCAAGAGATTTCTTGAATTATTTCTGGATGACTAGCTCCTAAAATCATGTCAACTGCATTGAGGGGGAAAAAAAAAAGGAGAGGAAAGAGGAGAATCCTTTTGCAAAAGAACTCGGGAAGTGAAACAGTCCTGAAGCATTCAGTGGGTGTAAGACAAATTGTTAGTGCTGTATATATAGCGAACGTCTTACAAACACGATGCATGCCAGAAATAAACAATATTGTCTCTGTATGATCAGCAAAATATGTCTAATTATCCATCTCCATCCCTGTTATATAGGATGTATAGAAATAAACAATGCATATCCATGCCAAGATCACTTTAATTTAAATTAGATCTAATGTGAACTGAATACACACTCAGCATCATATATAGCAGCCATCCATGACGGTGCCGAAAAAGTAGGCATTTGTGGGATGCCTAGAGGAATGTTAACTGGTAGATTTGGTACTTTGGGAAGGTTCACATTGGGTAGGTTCACATTGGGTAGGTTACTGGTTAAACTCCTGTGGAAGAAACAGACAGAAAGAAAAAAATACCATCACAGTGACAATGCAGATGTGGCAAAAGCACAAAACAGTAGTAAATAAATCGGCTAACTTCACGGCAAGACAAAGGCAAACACTCAAGCGACACACTCCAAAAAGCAGCTTACGGACGGGGAGCTGTGACGTGGCTCTGGGCTGAGAGAGAAAAGACAACAGCTCATGGCAAACATTAGCCACAGAGTGATTAGAAAGCATGGACACTTATGGAACACCCATATGTAACGATCATGTCATTTAAATGCTTTTGGGAAGGGCCTTTGGTTTCTTCTATGTTCACTGTCCTAAGAGTCTGGAATTTGCCTTCACTAAGAACTTGAAGTTCCTGGAATTCTTGAAATGGCTGGGTGGGACTGGAGCTGCTATAAAGTGTCTAGGGGTGGAGCACATTAGTTTTCCTACTTTCATTAATGTTACTGTCAGTTGACACACATTTGTGAAGTCAGATATTAGACACAAAATGGAATAGGAAATTCACCCACTTGAATATATGCCAATGGTGATGTACAGAAACTGAATTCTTTTAAAATTTATTATTTATTTATTTGAGAGGCAGTGGTGGGGGGAGGGAGAGAGAGAGAGCAAGCGAGCTGCTGGTTCATCTCTGACATGGCTGCAATTGCTGTTGGGGCTGGGCCAGGCCAAAGACAGGAGCTGAGAGTTCAATCCAGGTCTGCAGTGTGGACAATGGGAAACCGACGTCCATCACTGCTGTCTCCCAGGGTCTGCATCTGGAGCTGGGAATCAAAATCAGGAACTCCAAAACAGGAAACAGGCATCTTAACTGCTTAGGCTAAACACCTGCCATTCAGAAACTGAATTCTTTCCAGCTACTACTTCTAAAGACAGGAGAGTATGCAACAGGGTATCAGAATAGATGGTGAAGGTGGAGAAATCGTAATAAGGAACAACTGAATACTTTTATAGAATATATAAAGCAAGTCCAATTAAAATGGAGAAATGTTTGCCTGCAGAAAAAGACACCTAAGAAAAGAAAAGATTCTCAAATTCAGCTGTTATACTGAACTACTTGACCAAAACTTGGTGCAAAATGTGGTTTCATGTCAGGAGGGTTACCCTTGGAAGTGGCACAGCGGTGGGATGAAAGCATGATAGGCATTTGTAGGGGGCTGGGATGTTCTGTTTCTTGATCTCAGTCGCTGGTGACAGGGGTGTGTTCAGTTTGTGCAAATTAATCAAGCTGTGTGTTTTTCTCTAAAAAGGTAAAATAAGTCAAAAATGAAAAAAAATTTTTTGCATTATTTGTTTCTGAACAAAGATTGATTAATTAATGTGATGGAAGAGAGATCGATGGCTTTAGGAGCAGAGAGAGAAAAAATCAAACAAAACACAAATCCCTACTCGAATCAACTGTGTTTCTATGGAGGCTCTGTGTCATTTGCTGCTCCAGACGCTGGCACTTGAGTCTCATCATGGCATTTTAAGGGTGTTCCATCCAGCCAAAGTCACTGGCACGTAGAGCCCAGCCTAACTCTGCATCTGAGAGGAACCTTCCTGTTTAAGTGGAGTTGACAGCACTTTGGCAAAGGAGTTGAGGATCTCGTTTTGGATCTTGCAGTAAGAGCGAGTTTTGCCAAAGCAGCTCTGCCCAGGGCAAGCTGTGTTTAACTCAGAGGACTCCTGCATGGGCTGGAGCTGCCTCTGGGCTTGCTTAGTGCGGCAAACTTCTTGCTAAGTCAGACATCCTGGATCTCGTAGTTACTCTGGACGCCTGTCTCCTTCCAGAAACAAGCAACTCTTTTACAGTGGCAACACAGCCCTGCATAATTGCCAACCTGGCCTCCTCTTCTCTCTGGGAAAACAGATGTCTCCCTCTCCCAGGTTTGACCTTTATACTTCACAGTTGGGGAAAGTCAAGTTCATCTCTCTACTTGGTACTAAAGGGTTTAGAAGATAAGCTAAACAGAACCATGAAGTCGAGGGGAAAAAAGCAACTTTTCCTTCCACGTGTGTCTTTTCGACTGGGGAATGTGCCTTTGGATTCAGTCGCTGGGGGTTCTCAGTCTTAAACACTGCCATGTAGCAAAACCGTTGGCGATTTCCACTGAGACATGTGTAAGCCTATAGAAGCAAATGTGATCATTAAATGATACACACACTGAATAATGATCAAGGAATTAGGAGATCTTAAAGACGGCAGCCTGGAAAGTTAAAATGTCAATTCTGAGCAAATTAAAAGTAGCTAGGAATGAATAACATATAAACGTATGCGAAAGCAACTTAATTTAAACATATTAGCGGATGGTGGTACACAAAGTAGAAGCAAGCTTCATTTTGCACTCCAAAATTAAAAAAAACTCATATTAATCAAAACATATTGTATTTGTAAAATATGACATTTTTGCTGGACGAAAGCACGGGGCTCATAGAGAAACAGTTCCTTCATCTGACATATCACAATGGTCTACTTCTAAAAGGATGAAACACGCCTGATATTTCTGCTTTCTGCAAAATAACTGAGTGCATTTCTAATGTTACTAATATTTCATTTAGATATTAATAACGTATGGATAACCAAAGAGGCGATTCCAAGTATAACACTTCACTCATACACACGTGAAGACCATGACTTTCTAGTAGCTCTTAGTACTGATGCTCAGCCTCCTGAGGTGTTGATGGTTGCAATCAATTATCACTGTAAAGAGGGACCTTCAGCAACTACCGAAAAACAAGGGACTCCATGGAAGTCATAATTATATGTCTCTGCATAGTCCAAGCAGTATGAATGGCAATCTGATAACTGATGCATGTTAAAAATCAGACTCTGCAGGCTGGGTATCGTGATGCAGTGGACTACCAGAGTACCTGGGACCAAGTTCTGTCTTTACCTTCTGATCCAGATTCCTGCTAATGTGCCTAGGAAGCAGCAAGTGATGCCCCCAAGTGGTTGGGTTCCTCACCCTTACATGGGAGACCTGGACTGAGTTCCTGGCTCATGTCTTCAGTCTGGCCCAGCCCTGGCTGTTGCAGCATTTGGGGGAATGAACAAGTGGATAGAATCAATCTCAATCTCAATCTCTCTCCCTCCCCCAATTATCTCTCCATCCTGCTCTTCTAACAAATAAATAAATCTGAAAGAAAAACTAGATTCTTTATTTTGGAGACTTTACTGAAAAAGGATAGCTATCTTATCTCAGGATATTGGATTAAAAAATTCTCATCTTTCTCTCTCACATGGATGAAACCTACAGCTGTGTGTGTGCCATGATTTCTACTGACAGAAATGACTGCAGTTGGATCTGTCTCTTACTTTCTAGAATTAATTCTCACTAAGACACTGTCGCTATGCAGAAGGGATGTGGTTCTATCTTCCCCTCAAAGACTGCTTTAGATTTATGGATGGGGTGAAACTCAAGATACAGAATCCTTTCCACTTACAATTTTAAGAAAAATTATTTATTTGAAAGGCAAAGAGATGTAGAGAGAGCTCCCTTCTGCTGGTTTACTCGCCAAATGCCAGTGAAGAAAAGCCAGGTCTGGGCCAAGCTGGAGTCAGGGGCCTGGAACTCCCTCAAGATCTCCCATATGGATGGCAGGGACCCAATGACTTAGGTCATCACCTACTGTACCCCAGGATATGTATTAACAGGATGACGGAAGGGAGAGTGCAGCTAGGACTTGAACCCAGGTGCTCCGATATGGGACATGGGTGTCCCAAGCAGTAGCTTAGCTACTGTGCCAAATGCCTGGTCCTGTGTTCTCCTTTTTGAGCTACCTATTACATGAATGTATGTGGTAGATCTTGGCTACTCTTGGTGCTCTGGACACTAACACCCTTCTCAGATGTTCTCAGGTCTATTTCCTACCACAGAGGATGGGCACTCTTTGCTGTCTTCGCATATTCTAGTCCAACATTTATCAACATTTTATTCCCTTTCATTTCTTCCACAACTTCCTTCTCCATAAAAATTTCACACCACAAGTCAATTGTGTCTCTGTTTATGTAGGATAAGTAGTTCTGTGCTTCATACATAAAACAGTCATTTTAAAAATCACCTCACGTGCAATTTCACCAACACAGAGGCTGTACAGCTTCTGATGAGAATGCATCACCGAAAGTTTCAAACAGTTGGAGGTTTTAGACCCTCCCTGCCCAAGCATTTCTCCTGCTTGACAGCTTTCTCCTTTAAAGTCTGTGCTGACCACACTGAACACTTGCTGTTCTCTATGCACGCCCTGCTTCCCGCTGCTCCTTCCACCTTCGCAAGGATCTTTCCCAGTGCCTCAACCCCTTTTGAACTCTTATTCTCCAAGCTACTTCCTCCATGGCCCTTTAGTGAAGTTCATTCTGCTCTATTTTATGCTCTTGCAACTCTTCCTTCCATTATTTGTACATGGGTAAGAATTTACATTCTTTTTGTAGTGTGCTGCTCAGACCCAACTAGACTGAAATCAGCAATTGAGGGAATATATCATTTTCTTTTTCCCATTCCTAAAGTTTTCTAACTTTTACCCTTACAACTGCCAGTCTGTATGGGTTACCAAGCAGTAAGCAATTACTGAGCACCTAATATGCACCAGCCTCTGCTCTAAGTGCTTGAGAGACAGTGATGATGAAATAAGTGTGTGGATATGGAGAGTCATGTTTCCAAGAACATTGGCATTTGGCAGATTCCATTATCCAAAATCCTCGTTTTACAAAGGAGGATACTGCATCTCAGGAAAGTTAATGGAAGAAGGGTCTTAATTCAGAAAATCTGGTGGCCAAAGCTGGCCCAGGCAGTTACTGACAGGAGTCAGCTTGATACCAGGCCACTGGCATATTGCTAAGCTGTCATGGATCTGGTGGTTTCTTTTCATCAGGAGACTGATGCTTTTCAGACTCTGGAAAAGGGTATCATAGTAAAAATACAGTTCATTCTTTCTCTTTGTCTCTCACTGTCTGTAACTCTACTTCTCAAATGAATAAATTAATAAATATTAAAAAATACATTTCATGTACATATCTCAGGCAGAGAGAGAAAAGCACATTTTGAGAATTGAGACGCCCTGATTTTTCTTTGTGTGTACATCAATCATTGTTTAGTTCTACCACTCAGAGTCATCGTAACCTGTCCTGGGCCACTGTGAAGCCTGGAGGTGACTGAGTGGAGACAGAGTGATCATATGTCAGGAAAAGGAGCTGGGGGCTTTGGGGAACCTTTCTCCATTTTCTTCCACCTTGATGGCCACTATGATGGATTAACAACAGCGAGCTTGTGGAAACCTTGTCTACCTGTCTGTTAAGGTCAAAAACTATTACTCAAGGCAGCCAAGAGGATCATAAGGGATCCATCTAACTGAGAGTCGTAGCCCTAAGACAGTTCCCAATAGACACCCCTGACAGGGCTATGGCTTCCAGATTCTATTGGCAACTTGGGCTTGTCTCTGGGAGGCTGCTGTCAACTCGGGTATGATATTTCCTACCGCTGTGACTGACCTGGCTCCACAGAAGCATAGCTGGAGCCTCCCTTTCCCTCCTAACACAGATGGAAGGCTTTCTAGGGAGAGGCAGCAAAAGGACTTTGCTGGTTTACCCTTTCTGTCAAAGAACCTCAACAGTCAGACCCAAGTGCTTCTACCTTTATTTTCTTTTACAGGATCAGATTTTGAAATAAAGCTCCCTGAGGAATAAAGAACAGTTTAAAATCTGTTTTTAACAAACTCAATGTACATGGTAGCATTTCCTTGTAGAGGGCTATTTTTCTTTAACATTTTGAATACCAGTCATTTGGAAGCAACCCTTACAATGCATGTCTCATTTTATGTCTAATCAGGTGCCTATAATACGATCTTTGAAAGGTGGAAAAGCAGAACTAGTTGAGAATAGCAAGTGTTTGAGAGAAAGGAGGCAGTGCTCTGTGTATGTGTATTGCAGGATCATGTGGCAAAAGTGGAAAGGACTGAGCAAATTAAATCTACTGATGTAAGTTAGTTAGTTTATTTGGTGTGTGTTCCAAAGAGATCATCCTTAACTTGGAAAAAAATCTATAAGGAAAATCAATCTCTGTCTGTTTTTCAACCCTCTGACAAGTGGTCAGATGCGAGTTCACACTTTGTTTGTCTTCACATGGTGGGTAGCCTGGAGAGACACATTCCCCTGAGCACACACACACATCCCCAAACACCTTTTTTTACCCTCTCTTCTATGCCATTCTGAAAAGCTGCCCCATGGCATCCATACTTTGTTTACAAATCAGCTAATAAAATATGTGTGGTTTAAAAGAATTTTAATTTAGCTTATGTTTTAGTTGGCACTTTAAAATATCACCACATACTCTGAAAGGCACGTACTATTTAGCATGAATTGAACAAATTGCAATCATATTCACTAACCAACAACACAGTTTTGGACAGCAAAAAGCTACGTATAAAACACACACACAGACACACACACACACAAGCATTCACATAATTCTCAAGATATTATTCACATCTATTATTCCCTTCTTCATTTTCAGATCTGTAAATGATCAATCCAAGAGTTCCAATTTTATTTTCATATCAGTAAAAAAAAATCCACAACAAAACATTCCTAGACAAGGACTTCCAATTGTGAAAATGATTTTGCTTCAGATATCATTAAGGGAATTTCATGCTTCCAGGGGACTGGCACTCACATGTTTTTCCACAGATGAATTCAACAGCTCATAAAATGACTTTTGAGACAGTACTACGGATCTTCATAACAAGAATCTATCCTTGGGTGGGCACATTTTTAAAAATCAGTTTTGTTGCTAAGCAAACAAGTTCATTGAGGTTCAGAGACAAGGCCCCAAGTACAAGGCTCTTCAAGGAACAATTTCCTCTTATGTGTGTTGGTGGTGGTAGCCTTCAAGTTCAAACCCAAGTAACTAATGGCTAGTTCAAGACCTGGGCTATTCTCAAAATGAGACTACTACTCATTTTAACATTATTCTTTTCACAACTATTCTCCCAAGCACATGGGTCTTGGTTATAGTGTGCATATTAAAAAAAAACAAAATAATCCATCATTAATGCTTTACCTGCAAGGGATCCACTTTTATCCTCATGGGTTAAAAGTCAGCAAGGCCATATTTAAAACAGACACAAATTCAACAATAAGCAACTAAAGATGGAATTTCTTGCTAATTGGAAATGAAGAGCTACTGCTTATCAACCTGCTGTAGGCCAAGTCAAGAAGCTTCTCACAGTGAAAGGGGCAGAGAAAGCTGCCTTGTATTACTTTATTTAACCTTATACAGTGCAATGCTACAGGGAGTCTTGATTCATAAAACTGCTTAAAAATAGAGCACGAGTCAAGGCTTCCAAATTGAGGAAAAGCCTCTTGCATAATTGTTCTGAGCTTCTTGTAAGTATGCTTGTACGAATCACCAGTCTGCTTCATACTGGTTGCTACATCCCAACAATGCAAAGGACTTGCTAAAATAAGAAAAGAACAAAAATCTAAGAGGACCTAGTCAATACCAGGCTTCACTGGAGTTTTGCCAGCCATACCACAAAATTCTCTCCATATGGGAGTCTTTGTTCCTTCAGAAACGGGGCTCTGAGACTGACTCTACCTCCTTGGGTCACAACCTGCTTCCTCGCTGGGGCACAAACATGGCATTGAATCTACCAACCATTTCCAGATAGGACCTAAGATTCACCAAACTGTTTTAGAAACTGACAAATGCAAAACCTACAGAATTTCCCATAATTTAACCTGCAGGAGAGAGAATGCACAACACAGCACCTACTGTGCTCAGAGTTAAACGAGATCCTGTGTTCCTATATTCTCAGAGTTACAGATCTGCCCATGTGGTTTGTGACTCTCCAGGAAATGAGGGTATGGGTGGATGAATGGGATATGTCATATTCCCTAAATATACTTGGCCACAGAGTGTCTCAAACACCTAGAACAAAGAATGGCAAACTTTGGACCAGTCTGGTAAGTACAGTTTGATTGGAACATGGCCACACTCATTACTTTATATACTATCATTGCTTTTGTGCTACCGCAGCAGGATTGAGTAGTAACAGAGATTGTATGGCTCCAAAGCCTAACTATTTGTTATCTGGATTTTTGTAGAAAACATTGGCTGACCACGTCTGCCTGGACCTCCAGGCAACACACTTTGGGAAACACCACTTTCCAGGGATAATGCCATTGGAATAAGAAACACCGTGTAAACACCACAGCCAACTTTATATCCCCCATGCCTTATTTATGTTGTACGACAAAACAATTCATTTCTTGAAGCATTTTCAACCTCTTCCATTCCTCCCCACCCCACTATTTGGAAGCTATGAGCACCACAGTAGGAACTATGTGCTCTCTGTCCATTCTAACAATGCAAACCACAGGCCACCATTAATCCATTTCTGTATGACTCTCCAGCCATTTGCACCCAAACTCCGATGGTATCAAAAGAGGTGTCCTTACTTGACTGGTTCCCATGACTCCCGCTCAAAGCCCCTGTGAATGGATTGTGCAATTGAGGACTCCATCAAATCCACATATCTAACAACAAGTGGGGCAAACAGGTCTTGAAGGTGTTTGTGAAATTTTCCATTGCACAAATTATCTAGAATAGATAAAGCAGAAATTTGGTAAGAACCCACAGTTGCTTTATCAGCATGCAACGTACACACATTTGCATGAATGTCTTCTGCATTAAATATGCTGCTTCTAAGGAAGTCAAAAGAAGAAGGGATGTAAAAAAGGACACATCACATCTCTGTGGAAGGGGAGGGAAAGGGAATTCTAAGTTGATCCATTTGTTCCACTCTTCTAAAAAAAAAAAAAAAACCACTATCAAACTTCTTTATAAAAATGACTAAAACAACCATTCACACCAGTCTTTCATGTTCTTCTTGCAACCACTCTCTTTCTTCCCATTAAGTTGCCAGGAAGAAAGAACATTCTAGAAACCTCCACGCCTTCCTCATCCTCTCCAGGGAAGAAGATCTATCTCATAGCTATTGTTGCTATAAGATACCCCGACATATTTCAGATGCCAAAAAATAGCTAGAAATTGTTTTATTGTTCATTTAGAAAACATCTTTTGATAAAAACTGTAAAATGTGAAAAGGTTAAGCTAATTAATCTGTGTTAAGAGCAAACAGAATACCAGAAACAGACACCTCTTTTCATAGTGTTCTAGGGCTCTTGTGTTGATCTAAGGGGAGGTTTCCCAGCAACAAAATACTTGGGAAGAAAGGGAATGCCCAGACATTGGTGTTGGTTTGTTTTTTTATTTTCAGTAATAATATAATTAGAGAGAGCTATGCCTGGCCTGTAGCCTGCTTGGCATAAAGATGTCTTAGCCGTCAACTCCTCTGTACCCCACTTGCCAAACAGTCAAAGAAGATACATACAGTCAGTACGGAGAAAATCATTCAGCAGCTGGAACAGTGGAAAGCTGTCCCAGGTGTCGGGGGGCTGCACCTCTAGCGCTGCGTCCATGTCCACCGCAAAGAGCGACAGGAAAGTCTCCGCGTGCTCCACCATTAAGTCCGACCACCACGCGAAGGCCTTGGAAATGTGGCAGAAAAACAACAGACATAACGGATGAGCACCTCTCCGGGACCTGAGATGTGAATTCCAGCCCTCATTGTTCCAGACTAATTGTGCATCCAGCAGGGTTTGGTAATTTTATTGTAAAGAGAACAGCATTTTGGATACAATTGGGCCTCTCATGATTCCAGGCCTGGTGTAGAGGGCCTTTATTCTGACCTGTGGGCCAGAGGATGCAGCTGTAGAAATGACAGAGGTGGATTTTCTGTTCAATTTACAATAACTCTGTATGTTTGGGTCATGCTCCTTATCACTGTTGTTGGCTACTTCTTGCTGGAACGTATTAGAATTTGGGAGTTTCTTCACTGTGTTTATGGGTTTTCTGCTGGTCTAACTTGAAAATTTGCAATTATTATTCACTTTGATCTATGTATCTGGGGCTTAATTGCCTGTGGTCAGCATACAAACTCAGGGACACATGTTTCCCTACACACTGCTCACTCCTACTTCGTACTAAGGCAGAGGAAATCGCTGTCACAGTTGTCACCAAACATTGGAGTCAGAATCTTATCTTTAAGCAGGGAGCCTTCGTTTTTGCTTCCAGTCTGAAGGAAAGATCAGGCTTAGGCAAGGAAACATTGAGTAAGACCAGGACTTACTTTTCTGGGGGTTGGACACTTATGTACATTGAAAACCAAAAAATATCAGTGAAGTAACTCATTTTCATGCACGTGGGCCCTTGGAAATCATTGTGCAGGGTCTCGGGGCGGCATTCACATCAGTCGGGGCCAGATGTGAATGCAATTCAAAGGCAGGCATGCATGTTGACTAATCATTTCTGGCAGGGAGCATGCAGAATGAGTGGCGGTATCAACAGGCCCTGTTTTGCTGAATTCAAAGACAGCAGTAAAACAAAAACAAATCGCCAGCCCCTTCTTGCTCCCCACCTCCCCACTCAATGCCGTAAAGTATTTACACTGGAAACACTTTCCGGAGCATTCACCAAAAAATGATGGGAAGGCATTTGAGAACATGAAAGATGATTATGGCAATAATTCCATAAATGGAAGGGTTTGTTCAATGGCCAAGCTCTTCTGTAATCTATTAGTCATTTGAGGGATACTCTAAACAGCCACGAGGAGGCAGAATAGGGGTCTTGCCTCTCTTCTTTCATGAGATTTCTTACTTTACTTACTTCTCCTTTATCAACATGTGGCTGGTTTGCAAATTAAATGGAAAAAATCAAGTCACGGACCATTCTGCAAGGTTGGCTTGGCTGGAAATAGACACCTGCTGTTTACAGTAAAACCTCACTGATTCAGAGTGATGGGAGAGAGGAGATGCTGGTCTGTCCACCAAAAAGCCTCAGTTACTGGGCTTTCTAATAAGAGGTATCATTTTATGGCTACTAAATGCAATCTGTAACTAGGCACTGAAATAAAAGGTGTTTGTGACGTACACATTGGTTATCTTATCAATGCATCATACATGTAAGGGTTTTTAAACCTCTAATAATCATAGAGAAGTTGACTTACACATGAAAGTAATAGAGGATTTAAGTTGATAGGTTCAAGGATAGAAATAAGCACTGGATTACTCTGAAGTGTCAGGAGAGCCTCTAGAATTTCACAATAAACATGGCAAATATTTTACTTAAGCGAAATGACAACAACCACAGCTGCAATGAAATCATCCCAGATTCCCAGAATTTGGGTCTGAACCAATGAGGTTTTATTGTAGCTTTATCACCAGGAAATGAGAGCCCTGAGGTTTGGGGCTTGCCCTCCGACTGCTTGGCTAAATCCAGTAGAGGAATAAATCCCTTATTCCATCCCCCAAACTTTCCCCGCCCACCAACATTTTAGGCAGAGACCATTTCACTATTGGCATCTGCTGCAGTCCCATCCCCACCTCCTCTCCCATAGTGAGGCCTGACTCCCATCAATCCTGACTCAGGGTATCTGTAGAATTCACAAAAGTATGCGAAATGCTGGCTAGTGCTTGTCCCTGAGTTATTTGGTCAACTTTAAACCTCCAAGGTAAATAAAAACACCAAACAGACAAAAAAAAAAAAAAAAAAAAAACAGTTACTGGGAAGACTGAGTTGTCTTCCCACATAAAATCTTGCTCTCAGATGATAGGAAAAAAAATAAATAGAACACTAAAAAGTCCCTGAAAGTACAAATTCCTTAACCAAACCTCATACTGTTTTTTTTTTTTAAACCAGTTTTCTCATTTAAAAGTTACAAGCCAGCAGTCACAGAAGTACCAGTTCTACCATCTATAGAGAACTCAGTGCCTCACTGTAACTTAATATGCAGAGCTACAACCCTTGCATCAACAGTCATACAGATACGCAATCCTACAAGGAACGTCTGTTGTCATAGACACTGTCACCACCCAAGTCAGGTGGAGGGATTTAGTACTGCAGTGAAGCGAGACAACCGTAATTTGGGGGATGTAGAAGAAGTGAGGGCCAGAGTTCTTTTTGCACATCCCAGGTAATTCCTTCCAGAACCTCAGACTCAAACCTGACTCTGAGAAGGAGAAAACAAGTCTAGCGAGGGAAATAACCACCACAAAAAAAACAAAGATCCGATCAAAGTGAAAGGGTAATTCCAACTAAATGAACAGAGTCTGTATCACTGGATTGGATAAGGTCAGGCTTAGAAATATGCATTTATTTAATGCTTGCTCAGACAGGTACAAGAGCCAACTTACAACATCCAGGAGCAGTTAAAGTCTCTATAGATCTTTTCCAAAGACAATAAGAAGTTATGCCTTGGCTTCTAAATACTTACCCAGGGCTTTTTGCTATTTATAGACAAAGCTGTGTGCTTAGGGGTACAATTCACCACACGGAACACATGTGTATTCTGCACACAAACTAACATGTATATATGTACCCCTCTGTCTTCTACAATACATATATACATATACATACGTATACATAGAGAGAGATTGGGAAGGTGAAGCAACAATACATAAAGGTGTAATTCATATGTGTGTTTGTGTGTGTGAATAAAGTGGGTCCTGAGGACAGAATTAAGCTGCAATTAAGCGAGTAACATGACAACAGCTACTGAACACTGCCTGTGTGGTTAGCTTACGATGTATTCTTAGCTGATGACAATGTTTTCTCTTGCGATGCTTAGTGACTTTATACTGGAATTTAAAATGGCTTTAAGGATTATTGTTTTATTTTTTTTTTTGGAGGGGGGCAAGTCTACTTGTCATCTTCATTTATGTGGTGCCACCAAACAGCATGGCCACACAGCCGAGACCCATGCTTAAGATTTACCAATTTTTTTTTTAAGTTTTACTGATCATTCAGAGACTATAGCACTGTATATTGGTCAGGAGGAAAAACATCTTTCATCCTTTGGGGAAGAAAAACTCCATCTTCAGTGTGCCAGCGCTAATCGGACCTCCTCTGCGGGCTACCAGGCACAGTCTGCCCAGGCTCTGCACTCTGCAATCACTAGGGCAGCTCTCATGATCACCGGTGCTTAGGCTTCTCCAGGGGACTCTTGTCAACTGAGCTGGGGCAAGACCCGGGGCTCAGAAGTTTCAAGAGCCCCGTAGGTGACTGGAATCAGTAAGGAAAAGCACAGAACAGGTGGGCATGGTTTCTGGACCATTTCACCTTACAATAACCCACTCTCAACACTTTCTCTTCATTTTGTATTATCCTGTTCTTTAGGGTCGGAAATTCATATTGTTTGTTTCCTTAGCAATTTGTTCCTAAAAACACAACAGTCAGTATTTACTGAGTATTCACTCTGTGAGGTGTAACACCAGATGCCTTCCTTACGGTGGTCTTCCATCTTAGCCATGACCATCCACAATGCCCTCCAATTTACACAGAAAGAGAGGCTAAGTTGCTTTGTCAAGGTCACAGAGTAAAGAAGGCGGCAACCTAGAATTCAAATGCAAGCTTCCCTGGCATGAAGGCTAGGCTCCTGTTGCTCTGCTCTCTTTGGCTTGAAGGCCAAGGCTGCCCTGTTCCTTGGTGTTTTCCCAAATACACCAAGCTGGTTATTTCTTTGCTCAGCAGATAGACCGTGCTCAACAGATACATTTTGATCAATTAATGTAACAAGATTTTATGGTTGAGTGAAATGATTAATTTGAGAAATATTTCCACACATTTATTTAAAAGAAAATTTGGTCTCTAGAACTCCACAATATGCTGAAATTTTTATGACTAACTTCCAAAAGTGTTAATGAGAATAGAATTGAATTTACGTCTACCATATTTATTTATGCTGAGTGGCTATTGACTATGTCAGATTAAAATATTTTGTAATGATGGTTATTAGGGTGATTTAAGATGATGAACATCACTCAGTGAAAAAACACCTTTTAGAATAGTGAAGAATGGCTTCTCTAGAATACACATTTTCCTTTGGTGCCTCTTCTGAGTAATTTATACATCGCTTCTTAGAGCCTGAAGCAGCCTCAGAAAATCGTTTGATTATGATCAAGTCTACCTGTCATTTTTCTTTTTCTACCATACACTTACAAGCACAGATCTGTGCCTGAGAAAAACCATCCTCTTTGTATCCGTGTCTTCGAATACGTGTGGACTTGTTCAGCCATCGCAGGAAAAGCCTCAAGTGCTCAAATCAGGGCACAGTAGGCCAGAGCCCCTTTATGCCTCTGGAGATGATATCTGAAGAGGCCCCGGAAGGAGCACACTTACCATCACTTGCACCCCATACCATCACTTGCACCCCAAGTGCTTCCAAAGCACGTGGGAAGCATCATGTCATATGGCACAGAGTAGAAGAGAAATTCTAACCCAATTCAATTTCATGTGTCTGGAAATGAATGTTTTGTTTCTGTGTCTGGAGGCTGCTGCCTTGGCTCCCCTTCTTACTTAGGGCTATGTGTTATTGCTGGGTGCTGTTTGAGTCCGTATGCCTGCCTCCAGCGGTCTTTACCCAATTCCTGGAGCGTTTTTTCAGGGATGTCAGGATTCTTCGGTACTCTCTCTATATATAAATACTGTATATATGATTCACATACAGACAGCTATAGAGAAAAATTAGTATCACTTGGGTCAACTACTGTTACTAGGTTCATTGCTCATCTGCCGTAATAGAGGTAGGTACAGACAGACACAGGAAACTGCAACAGGCTAAGGACAGAATCAAGGCAGGTAGGAGGCGTGTGTCGGGATGTAACTGCAGTCCTCGTGAAGTGTATCAATTGCTTCATGCACGCACAAGAGAGTCACCCCACGTTTACCCTGCTGGGGAGGGCCGCCCATCTCACAAGCAGTCCACTGGAAGTTGCTGTTACATTCCTTGGGTCAGTGTTAGGAAGCAGGAGCACTAGGAAAGTCCCATTAGAAGACATGGTACTGGAAGGGCATGCACAGAGTATGACAGCAGGTGGCTGGTTCATTCGGTTTAGTCACATACCTCTTTCCCCTGCCACGATCAGCCAAGATTGAATGGAACAGTAGAGAAACAGGGAGGAAATTTAAATAGGCAATCAGGCGTTAGTCGGGATGGCTGGATTTATGGAGTATTATATATTATTTAACTATCCTGTGAATTTTCATTTAGTATTGGGCATAATCATTTTAGCTGTTGGACAAATTACTTTTAGGGAATGCCTTTTCCCCTTTCTGCTGTAGATCTGAATGTAGACAAAGAGGAAGAATTAGTGCAATTTTCAAAAAGAGTATTTTTAAGAGTTGTGAGTTTAGAGCTCAGTTTTGAAGGAATCAGGGATACCATGGTTTAACCATCATGAAATTTTAAGAGTCTTTTCTTTAGAAGGGCTTGATTGTGTCTTTATAGGTTCGGGACCTAGCTGGCCTTGAAATCCCTTGGTTTATCATGATTGTAACAATCATCATTTTGATAGTGGTTTATAAAAAAAAAGCTGGATTTATTTAGATGTATGTTGGAGAACTAACAAATTGAATGACATGAAATAATTTGCTTTTGTCACTGCATTTAGCAACCCAGGTAATCTAATTGAAAAAAAAGAAGACCATAATACAAGAGAGTAAGTTACAAAGAGAAATTCAAAAAGATGGCCTGTGATCCACACACCAAAGAACCAATAAACAACAGTGGTGGCAACGAAAACAACCACAAAAGACCAAAAAATATTTTGTGTGTTCTGGACAATGGTAATTAGCTGTTGGTTGAATAGTTAACTTTAAGATGTACTCACCTCATTGGCTTGTAGCTAGAAACATCTGAAAAACTTAGTTTGAAATATACAATGCACAATCATTTTTTTCGTAGTTTTAAACAACTTTCCAAAGACTTCTCCTTGCAAAACTTCCACTTGCCTCCTCTTTGCAGGCCAGTTAAAAGAAAATTGGTGTCAAGGCATCTTCAGCACAACCTGGTTTGCAGAATCAGTGTTGCAACCCTGGCTAAGGGACACGAAGTAACATTTCCCACCAAGCCTGCTCACCTCTGCGTGGTGCTCCTCATTTTGTTGGAGAACTTCAATGACTAATTCAGCAAGACGTATTGTGTCTTCAAGCTTTTTGGCAGGAGTGATTAACCGGCCTACATTTTCTGTAGTACAAGAATTTGCGTTAAAATTCAGCGAAAGTGGCAGGCTAGCTTTGTGGCCATTCAACTAGTGGGTAAGAAATTCCAGATAGTTACCAAATTAAAAAAGTTTCATGCAAATGTTAAGTGCCATGTAATTAGTAGTGAGCAAACCATATTATTAGTGTCACCATTGTTATAATACATATTAGGAAAGAGCAGTGCTCCAGCTCCAAATTTGCTAATGAAGCTATATTAAGTCTGTGACAGCCCATTTCAAATTTAGTGACATTTTGTACACGCATTCTTTAAAGACAGCATGAATGTACTACCTTCTATCACTCTCTAGATTGTGTCCTTACTACTTGCAGTAGGATGATGTAAGGGAAGCTTAACCTTGACTGTTCTACATTTGTTTTTGATGTTGGTCACTGAACATTCAAATATCACACATTGGTTTTCATGACAGGCCTGTGTGTTGAACAGGTACTGGAAGGAAGGCTCCTGTTGAAAAAGCAGATTTAAATGGCTGTGTGTGTTTCCAGCTGACCAAGGAGGAGAGTACAAAAACAACTGGATGTTCAAGGGGTAATTATGTAGAAGGCAGGATAGTTATTAAAGGGACTATGGAATGTGGGCGTGGCCGTTTGTGCCACTGGTTGTGATGCTGGCATTTTCTCAGTTGAGCTACAATGATGTACTAAATTTTCTTTGCTTTTAATTTATCTTGTAAGGGTTGCGTTCTCACCCAGATCACGAGAAAATTGAGTCCTGGCTTTTGTTGCACCCTTTAAAGAGCTGAATTCCTAAATGCTTGGCAATACCACTATGTCGCAAAAAATTTCAAATTATTTTCCTTGTGGAAAACAGTCATATTTAAAACCCAAAGTTTTTCTTAGCCAATGAAATTGTCTGAGTTCAACCAGTCTTAATACACAGAGGGAACTGGTATATGACACTTAGCCCCTTTCAAATCTTGAAATCTCATGTGGTCCAATGGAAACAAAGGTAATCTCCCATAGTTCCACAAGCAAGAGTGCAGTGTTTGCAAAAGAACTGCTGAAACTTCATTTCTTCACCTGAAGCAGCAGGTGTATTTTGGCAGCAGTAAGTGTCTTAATAGAGAGAATTATTTAACACTTCATGGAAAGTTTTGTTTTGTTTTTACAACAAAATCACAGGAGACTGCTTATTCACAGTAACAAAATCTCATACTTTCCTTTCATGCATTTCTTGGCTAGGTGATGAACCCACCAGGTCATTTGTAATTTAGGATTTAATAATGACAAGTAAATTCAAAAAGTGCAATAAGTGTTCTGGCCAGTGAGAGCTAAGTCTTATTGAAGGGGAATGGCTGTAATTCTCCACCTGTTGGAAGTTTCAGTCTTAGCAGATCTGATGTGCAGATGGGCTGGTTCGACTCACATCAGTGAAAAGTCCATTACCTCTGTCATGTTCAGACAGAAGTGTGGCCAGATCTGGTCAGGAAAGAAGGGGAAGGTTGTAGGTAAGATAAGGATGCAGATTTGCTAGAGCGGAGCCAGCTCTCAGAAGAGGGAGTTTGGGCAATCCAGGTGCTGACAGCTCATTGCCTAGATCACAGCAACAGCTACTGGAAGATCTACTGAAGAATGAGTGACAAGACTGACTTGTGTGATTTGGGGGCATCTGAATTGACAGACTGTCATAATTCCATTAGTGGACTTTCAGGCATTTCAACAAACATACTGTGTATATATGTTGGGTAATATGTGTAGAGTGAGGTATTTGCATTTTGACGGCAAATATGCATAGGCTACTTTTTTTTTTTTTACTGATTTTCATATTTACACATCAATTTGCAAATTCCCCATCCTATGCTTATTACCCATTCAACACATACACCCACATACACACATCACACACTTACATACATTTTCTTGTAACCAGACAAGACTGCACATTAATACAAATCTGCAGGAAATCCCACTTTGGGGCACCTCTTTGATATGTCTTTCTTTATAAATACAAAGCATTGTCCTTTTGTGTGGGACACTCACCAAATCCAGGGGAATTCTGGCTGTATATGACGTATGATACAGAAAAGAAATAATTCCCACCAATATTTGATGCACAACTATGAAAAAAGTGGGATAGATTTTTATGTTTGGAGAAATCCAAGATGCTGAAGCTGGGACCACCTGAAGATTTGTTTTGATAGCAGTACTCTTAGATTGACTACAATATGTATCAACAGATACACATAAATTGTACCTGTGCACGTAGCGATTCTACGAATGTGCACATGTACACAGATACGTGTATGCCTGATGTATATATACAAACAGTATGTTTAATAAGACCTTTCACAATTTTACTTTAACACACAACTTTTAGAGTAAGCAGGTTAAGGATCCTTTCATCTAGAATAGCCGATCTGCCAATTAACCCATGTAGCCAGACTTTTTGTTTGCTCTTAATTAGGTGTGATTCCATTACCTAATGATCAAGCTACTTTAGCACTATTTTGCTATTCGTTTTCATAGCTGATTTCCTAGCTAAATGGCAAAAATGGTACTAAAAGTGACTTCTCTGAGATGTTGTCTTTAAAGAAAATTTTGTGCAAAATCCTTCAGCACTTGCTCTTGCTCCCGACAGAGGTCAAGGAGAAGTTTGTGCTTAGAAATGATTTTTGGGTCACTTCTGCTGTCTTGGAATGTACCCCAATACTCCTATCCCCAAATCTTGCACTAGCTGGAGCACTGAGGGAAGGGAACTAAAAATACAGTATACTTAGGAAACGTTTCATACAACGGAATTGAAGCTCATAACATATAAAAATTATCATGCAAAATGTTATGCAACAACAATGTTATTTTGTGCTGACATTGAGATTTGAAAATGTTGCATATGTCAGACATTGCTAGACAAGAAAAATGTGGACATTTGGAAATAAATGCTCTCTTTCGAGTATCTTAAAACCTACAGGGTAGAACTTGAGAGCCTGAGCCTCAGCTTAATATTTGAAACCGAAACAAAATTTCAAGAGGAAAAGTGAACAGAAAAAGCAGACTAAACTAGAAAGCTGCTGAATAAAAGGAATGATAGAAGTTTACAGTACTTGATTTTGGCCTAGGCATGCCTTTGAACCTCTGATATAACAGGCTGGTCTGCTTTTGGGTGGGTGGAAGAGGAGGCCCAGGAGGCGGCCGGGGAGCTGCTCAGGTAGGTGAAGAGAGACGGTAAAAAAAAGACAAAGTGACTTTAACAAAGGGAGACAAGCACGATGACAAATTCTGAAAAGAACGATCAAACAAGCAAAAACAATAAAACACAAACGGAGAGCTGCTGCTGTCTCGGTGCTGCTCCAACAGCACATGGGGGTGGGGGTGACACTGTCTGACAAGAACTCTTACCAGCACCCACAGCGCCACCCTGACCGAGACGTTCAGAGGCTGAATGCAAACACTGGATACTTTAGCCAGATGGAGACACATGAGTGATGGAGGCAGCAGCATTGACCAAAAGAAGATAAGCTTTTGTACAACAAAGAACGTCTCTATGTTCACAACAGCTTCTTCCTTTCAGATGACCAGAAATAGGACTTGATGGATCAATAGTTGAGAGATCTGGCTTCTCATCTTCCCGATACTACCTGCTTTCTAAGGAACCTTGCACCTGTTTCTTAAATGTCTCTGTGCTTTAGTTTCCTCATCTGTCAGTTGAGTACATTAACATCTCTTCTGGGACCCTCGCCTCCCAGGGCTGCTAATCAAAGCAAATGAAACAATGTATGGGGCAGATTGCTGCACAGTCTAAGGTGCCTACAAATGCTTACTGCTACCTCCCCATTATGAGAAGGCAGGAATTAACTGCTTTGCAAAAGCAGATGAAGGGCCATTATTAGTTCAAGTGAGCTAGGAAATATTCTTGCTCCCTTTGTGGAATTTCAACATGTCAAAATCTGTCATTTCGGGGAAAAAAATGTGTGGTATCTGATTGTTTCCAGCTCATTTAATTATTTTCAATTTGGAACTCTCATGGCTTTTATATTGTGGGTTGAATCATATATAAAAACTTGCCAGCTTATCAAATATGTTACTTGCTATTCCAAATGTTAGAATACCATAATCAGCACTTGACCCATCTGTCATGTGGTTTCCAATATCAGCAGAGCAAACATCCTATAACAATAGCCTCTCTCTCAATACAGGCACAGAGCACTATCAACTCCTGCAATTCACTCTCTTTAATGAGCGTCTCATTAACCCTGGACCTGCACCTTTCTAATAGTTCCGGTTTATAAAGCAATCTGTACAGCAAGAGGGACACACACCATTGCCAAGTTTGCTTCTTAGTTTGCTTAAATGTTCAACTGGGAAAATGAATTTTACTGCAGGCATATAGGAAATGGAATTCTAGTGACATTAATAGAAAAAAAGATTGAGAAATATGGATAAATATAATATTCTGGCAGAACCATCTTTTAAAATCAAGAGTTGATGAGATCCTTTTTTTGCTAGACCGTGCCAATGTTCTGAATACAGGACAAAAAAAAATCTTTACCCATTTCTTCTTGTCTAAATTGTTTTGGAAAGATTGTGTGCAAATAGAATTTAGAAAAAAATATTTTTAAATGGTAACTATTTAAAGGAAGACAACTACTGATCTTTTAAAAAATACTAGAAAAAAGGACTCTACATTTTATATTTCGTTGACAGCACTGCTAAAAGTGAGGTACATCTCGGGGAATGTATCCTTACAACTCTTTCAATAAATGCATGCTCCCTGAGCGCACACTTCACATGAAGACTCCTTATTCATTCTTGCCCTGATAACCAAGACTATGTATTTCATCTGGTGGCCGAGAAAACAACGCCTCCCCCTGCCCTACTCGTGGTTGAGCCACAACCCAAGAGGCAGCAGACACACATTTCAGCTCAATGGGTCTTGATGAGACATTCATAAAGGGATCCCCTGCTGCCAACTGTCTGTCCAGAATTCTGACAGTGAGGTTTGCCACCACAGAAAAACACGCTCCCTATTTTTTCCCTCACAGAGCAAAACAAAAACATCATACCTTGGTTTCCAACTTCATTTATCCAATTACCACTGCTCATGTTTACACAATTAAATCTGCTTGGCTTCCAGAGAGAGAGAGAGAGAGAGAGAGAGAGAGAGAGAAAGAGAGAGAGAGAGGCAGAGGCAGAGGGAGTTAAATGTGACTGGAAAACAAAAAGAGAATTCCTCTGTATGCACAACTAAGCCCAGGAAGAGAAGCATCCAGGAGCCAAAGACACTCCAGTTAGCCCTCAAATAACCTGACCATCTCTGGTTCCAGCGAGCAAATTGCCAGCCCTTGAAATATCATATGAGAGATGGATATGATTGATGGAAAGCCCACTTATTACCCAGTTGCAGCCTACTGATGGGTTGCTAAAGATGCCAGTGTTTGTAATATGCCATCACTTGAAAATCTAGCAGTTTGCAATGAATTGGAGGTAGGGGTGGATAAAAGCCCAAGAAGGAATACAAAGCTAAGCAGATACCCACAACCTGCTTTCTGGAATATCCTGCCTTCCTAAAATAGTGTCAACAAGGGCCAGATGTGTATGTTAAAATTCATCCTGATTTATCAGGTGGGACGCCCCACTGTATGTAGTCAAATGCCCTGAATCTCCACTGCTTGCCTTCAGAAGAGTCCATGTCCAGAACATTAGGAAGTATATGTTATTGAAGATCAGTGGAGGTATTATGGGGGTGATTTGCTCTACTTTTTTCACAGGGACCTTCTTTGTCTCCTTCACATAAGGACTTGGGTGGCCTATCCTGTCCATCCTACCACCAGAATTGTCTTGATTTTCTCTCCTACCTTGCAAGATGTCCCGCCCCCACACTGTTACCAAGGGGATGGCCATGTGACTCAGACCTCATCCTCACAGCTGTGGCTAAACCCTCCATGCCGTTCTTCAATTCCCGTCCTCTTGTGCACAGCATTCTCAATGTAGCAGATGTAGGGACCTCTGTAAAACACAGGTCTGAACTTGTTTCATTCCTGCTCAAATGAGGACCTTAGATAGCTCCCCTTCATAACAGGAGTTAGGCCTTTATATGTCCAACTTCTCCTCTGACAATACCTCACTTGAGCACTTAGGGTCCTGAATAACAGCAAATTAGGGAGTGGGCATATAAACTACTGGTTAAGATGCTCACATTCCACACTGGATTACTTGGGTTTGACTCTCTGCTCTGACTCCTAATCCCAGCTTCCTGCTAGTGCAGACCCTGTAGGGCAGAGGTGATGGTTCAAGTGACTGGTTTCTTCTAACTTCAGTGGGAGACCTGAATTGCAATTTTAGCTTTGGTCCTGGCCCAGACCTGGCCATTTTGGAGATTTAGGGGAGTAAACTAGCCCAAAGGAGCTCTCTCTGCCCCTCAGATAAATAAATAAATATTTGAGTCATCTTAAAGAAGTCTGTCAGCAGCTGTAGATTTAAAAGCACACTAAAATTCTTCAACAAGCCGGCGCCGTGGCTCAATAGGCTAATCCTCTGCTGTGGCACTGGCATCCCAGGTTCTAGTCCCGGTTGGGGCGCCGGATTCTGTCCCGGTTGCTCCTCTTCCAGTCCAGCTCTCTGCAGTGGCCCGGGAGTGCAGTGGAGGATGGCCCAGGTCCTTGGGCCCTGCACCCGCTTGGGAGACCAGGAGGAAGCACCTGGCTCCTGGCTTCAGATCAGCGCAGCGCAGCGCGCCGGCCGCAATGCGCCAACCGTAGCGGCCACTTGGGGGGGTGAACCAATGGAAAAAGGAAGACCTTTCTCTCTAACTCTGTCAAAAACATAATAAAAAATAAAATTCTTCATCTATAGGAACAGTACAAAGGTTTCCTGTCTACAAGGGCCAAAAAAATTCCCTGTTTTTCCTTCAGCTATTAGAGATTTTAAGTTTGCAATGTTATTTTTTTAAAAATTTGCACTTTATTTGAAAGGCAGAGGCAGATATGTACACACACACACAGAGAGAGAGAGAGAGAGAGAAAGAAAGAAAGAGAAAGGCAGAAATTGAAATCTTCCACCTACTGCTTTAGTTCCCAAATATTTGCAAAAGTCAGGGGTAAGCCATGCCAAAACCAGGAGCCTTGGAGCACAGTCTGGGTCTGCTATGTGCCTGGCAGAGACCCAACTACTTATTCCATCACCTGCTGCCCCACAGGGTGTGTGTTAGCAGGAAGCTAGAATCAGAAGCAGAGCTGTGACTCAAATCCAGACCTTTTCATAGCGGATGGGAGTATCCCAGGTAGCATCTTAACTTCTGTGACACAATCCTGCCCCTATTTTTTTTTTTTTTTTTAAAAGATTTTCTTGGTCTTGGCATTGTGGCATAGTGGGTAAAGACACTGCCTGTAATGCCAGCATCCTATATGGGCGCCAGTTCATGAATCAGCTGCTGTACTTCTGGTCCAGCTCCCTGCTAATAGTCTAGGAAAAGCAGTGGAAGATGGTGAAGGTGTTTGGGTCCCTGCTACGCTCGTGGGAGACCTGAAAGAAGCTTCTGGATTTCATCTGCTGGTTCACTCCCCAGATTGCTACAATGGCCAGGGCTGCATCAGGATGAAATCAGGAGCCAGGAGCTTCTTTCATGTCTCCCACGTGGGTGCAGGGGCCCAAGGACTTGAGCCATCTTGCAGTGCCTTCCCAGGTGCATTAGCAGGGAGCTGGATTGGAAGTGGAGTAGCTGGGACTTGAACTGGTATAGAAGGTGGTGGATTCACCTGCTATGCCATGGTGCCACTCAGATTCCTACCACCATCCCAGTTTGTTTTTTAATAGTCACTCCACATTGCAAGAATCTATCCAGATTTAATGGTACTACCTGTATCTAGCCAATCTTTAAAAAGGCTTTCTAAGCATACAGCCTTAAGCTGTGTGGACAGGATCTTGGAGCATGTGGAGGCATGCTGAATTTAGGCAAACAATGCCTCAAGGCCAAGGAATACCCAAGTTCTTCTTGGGGGGAGGGGCAGCTCTTGACCTTCATGATGGCATCTGTAATGCTTGCCTGAGCTCAGTTCTCGTTTACTACATTGCTGTGGCAACTTGCATTTTCTCTTTGCTATTGTCATCCAATTTTCAATGCTGTTTCATGCCTGTATTCTTTGCTTTTCTGTCAGCTCTGTGAAGGTAGCAACCATGACTATTTTTGCTCATCGCACACTCC